CAATATTCAAAGATTTAGATATCCAGCTTCACTATTATTTAGGAAAATCAAAATAACCTAAAGGTGCTCTTTTAAACTACTTTAAATTTTTTCTCATTTAATTGCAATTCCATAAATTTATTAACGATTGTGTCTTTTTGCTTGGTAGTTTTTTTTTGTTTTGTACCGACAAAAAATAACTACCAAGCGCCAGTTGGTTTTTAGTTAAAAACTTTTTTCTATTTTTTATATCAAAATTTAATTCGTTTTTTATTTTTATTTTTTTATTTCTTTTTAGTATTTTTTATTTTGTGGAAATTTTAAAATCTCAGTAAAACTTTATTTCAGTGACAGATTTGATTATAATGATGATGCTGTGATGATTTTTTTTTTGTTAAAGAATTCATAAAAAAAAAAAACAAGATGAAAAATCAAAAGTAACAAAGAACGACACTTCATTCAAATGAGATTATGCTAATTAAGATGTTTTTTTTGAGAAGATGAAGCACACACATAAAAAAACAAAGAATAAACCACTTTTTAAAATTTGCTTCTAAACGTGAAAATGAAAAATTTTATTAAAATACAAGAGGACAAATTCCTTCAGAATTTTTGCCACTATAAATTCAAAATTTGCATTCCATTCCTCCCCACATAATGGTATTTTTAAGAAATCCAAATGGTATTCAAAAATGAAGGTGTTTAAAAGTAAAGTGAAGGGCTCTTATCCAAAAATTAAGGGAACAATCAAAATCAGAGAATCAGAAATAAATTGTTTAAATTCAAAATGGAAAAATAATAAACTGAAATTGAAAAGAATAACTTTTGTTAAAGGATTATTTTAAGGAAATAAAAAATAACATAAAACAGGAATCTAAAGGTGGGAAAGGAAGACTATTAGAGAGTATTTAAAAAGGATTTAGTATACTGATGAAATTTAATTTTTAAAAAAAATTCAATAATTTTTTAAAGAAACATTATTTAAATTGTTAATGAAGTCATTCCAGTATTTTTGTCTTCGTAATAATTTTCTATATGTATTTTATATTTAAAAGAGCTTTACCATTTGCTATGCGTTTATTTCACTTGGGAATCCATAGTGAAATTATCCATGGAATAATGTGGTCTTTTAGTGTATTCCATACCGCTTAGCAATTTGCAATTTGAAGCCATGTGAAGAATTTTGGAAAATTCTAGTATGTGAAGCGCAGATAATATACGAGTATTTTTGTTAATTAGCATTACGGAAGCAAGGCAAATATTCAAAAATAGCAAACACCGTGTTACAGGAGACGTGTACTATTCTATTAGAGAATAAAAAACTGCGTCGATTAATTACTTTTAAAAATTTTACAATATTGTTTTTAAGAATTTTTTTTTGTTTTTCTTTAACTTTTTAAAATTTATATATTCTGATTGTCATTTACATGGGAAAAAAACATTAAAAAACTTTAAAAGTAAATAAATTATGGCTTTCTAAAAATTATAATATTGTTTTGTATAATAATATAGGGGATGCCAGATGGTATATTCAATTTTTATTACTATAGAAAATAAATATCTTCATTTCAATATAAATTAAATACTATAAATTTTAATTTACCAATCGAATTTTAAATTTTAATCTGCTATTAATAAAAATATTTCAAAATTAATAAAATTTTATAAAAATTTGCAAAATTTATTGATTTTTATTGCCGAATTAGTTCAGTTTTTATTCCGGCATTATAAGAAAGCTAAGCTAGTAAATCTTTTATAATAGTTAAAAATTTACAAATAATTGAATTTAATTAATTTTAATTTGAAAAGCCATTATACCATTAAGTAAATGCAAATTAGAGATTTTTTAAAAATTTTTAAATGTAATCCATTAATTTTCGTAATTTTATTTTTAAAAAAATATATTTAAGTACTATTTAAATCACTTGCTCTTACTAAGTGTATTCTTACTTGTAATTTTATTAATACCTTAAAAATTAAGAAATGAAGAAATAAATTAAAATATTGTTGAAGACGAAAACTTTCCTGCGAATAAAAATTTAAACACATAAAAAATGGTACATAAAAAAGGCAGACCTTCTGTTGATTATTACTTAAGCTTAATCCTTATAGAAGCAATTAAATGCATTTTTTTTTTTTTGTTACTTCAAAAAATATTTTTCTTTAATTTCGTAAAAAAGAAAACCAGAAAGAATAATTTTTATTTTTTTACTAGCAAGCAAAACTTCATTTCTTTTTGTTTTTAAGAAAAGTAAAAGACATTTTTAAATATTTATTTGTTTACTTTAGTTATAATTTTTAATTAATGTGAAATGTTTTTATGAAAAAGGAAATAAAAGATTTTTCCTCAATCTGTTTTTGAAACCTAAAAGAAAATTTAAAAATATTGTAAAATTTTCACGTATTTTTTTTATTTTTTTTAATTGTGCATAAGAAAATAGTCACAAAAATTTGAAAAATGTAATATATTAAGTTTTATGGTATTTTAAATATTAATTTAACTGAAAGTAGTTCATTAATAAAAATATTAAGAATAACTTACTAATTTGGAAGTGATTTAAATGCTTTCTAATTTAATGCTTATAATTTGTTAGCTCGTCAAATTTTTAATTCGAAATCAAATAGCTTAGATTACTTATATAGTTAAATGTGAAAAATAAAAAATTCTTAATTTTTAAAATTTAAAATTTAATATTTTTCATATTCAACTTAAATAACCAATCATCTAGTGATAAAAATTTTAAGAATAATTTATGTACTTTAATTAGTGTTTAAGATTACTTTGATTTTACTAGTTTAAAAATTTAATAATTAAAACTTAAAATATCAAAGATGTTAAAAATGTTTTTAAAATCTTTGTTTGTATTTAATTAAGTTTTACTGTAAGCTTATTCTAATTTAATCATTAAATTTTACTATTGCTAAGAAATTGTATAATATTGAATAAGAAGAAAATTATCTAGTAGTATTTTCACTACATTTTCATTTATATCTTCCTTAGAAATTAAAATCACTGAAGTAAAATAATTTCTGAAATTTTATTGTTCTTATTTAGTTTCTAATACATACCTTTAATTTTAATGTAAACTATTCAATTCATAACCAAATTAACTCCAAATATTGAAAAATTTTAAATTAAGGTGTAAAAATTTTGATTTCCTATTTATGTATTTCCAAGTAAGACAATTTAAGTCATACTATGATATATTTCAATTTTTTTTCATTTTTTTCACTCCTAGAAGGAGAATAGGGCTAGTGCATTATATCATAGATAATCATTCCCCAGTTTTATTGCATCAAAGGGTTTTAATTAGGTAGATGACTAGCTTTCTGTAATTTTTTCTTTATATTAAATATTTATGGTTATTAATATTTAGTATTTATTTTTCTTTAGTTTTTAATATCGAATATTATGAATATATGAAAATTACTTGTATACTAAATTTGTTATTTAAAAGTATTGTACATTAAGCTATAATATTGAATATAATTTTATATAGTGGCCTGACCGGGGTTTGAACACGAGACCCTTAGGTTGGCACCAATGGCTCTGATATGAGCACCAATTGTCAGGATACATTTAAATAAATCAATAAAAATTGCTTGATTAACTAAAATTGCTGAACAAGAATTGTTTTAAAGAAAAATTTAATTGACACAAAATTAATAAAAAGTTAAAATTTCATTGCATTTCTCATCTTTTTGATTAATGGAGTTATTCGTAAATCATACTCAATATCTAATATACATATTTGCATATACAAAAATTAATATAATATATTATATAACAATTAAATAAATATAATTTTCTAAAGTACAAGGTAAAAATTATATTTATTTGCATTAATTTTCTTTAAGATGTTTTTCATTCATATATACGACAGTAATATGCATACAACTGTTATACCATTATTCTTATTTTATAAAATATAAACTAATATTATAAATTCTCTTAAGATTTATTCATTCATCTAATATTCATTGTATAAGAATGCAGTCAGATGAATAATAGAGTACAATATAAATATAGCAAGAGGATGAGAATAACAAAAATACAAAATTTTCTCACTATTATTCTGCTCACTTACCAAACTTACATGTAAAGAAGAGTATTTATTTCTCAAATCACAATGGGATTTCTAAAATGTTTAAGACATTTTACAAGAAAAATTATTATTTGTTTTTTATTTATTTTTTTTTTATATATATTTTTCCCTAAATTATTAAGTTGTTAAGTGAAAAAAGAGGATATTTGAAAATGCTTTTTTTTTCTTGTATTGAAGAGAAAATTTTCCCAATCTCGTTTTGGAAAGAGAATGCATCACTCTTTACCTTATAAATGGAAGCGGAAATAATAGAAATTTACATTAAGAAAATTAGAGAACAAAAAGATTATTCAAAGATTTTAAATGATTTTTTACTTGAATTTATAAATTTTATGTTTTGTTTTAAAATTAAATTCAAATTTAAATTCATTATACTTTAATTTTGAATTCTGAAATGAAGGACTATGTAAATCCACTCGAATTGTAAATTTTGAATAAATTTGCTTGTGTCCAATTTTGATTTTGTTTGTTTTTTGCATTGTTTGAAATAAATATGGTGCAAATATTTTTTAACAATTAAAATGAACAAAAAACACAAAAAAAAAGTGTGTTTTTTTAGCAATTTCATCTTTGTGTAATTTGAAACTTTGCATTTTATTTTTTTTTTTCAATTTTAAAAACTGATTTCATATCCTTTTTCTCTGTCGGTAATTTGTGGTTACTCTACGATTGTTTTCGCTTTTAATTGGTAAAACTCATTTCCGAGATTTATTTTTTAAATTCTTCTATTAAAGAGTTAGCTTTAGATCTGAGTCCTTAATATATTTAATATTATTTTATTTCCAGGAAAAATAAATTTTAAGATTTGTTGGGCTCTATTTAATAAATAATAAAGGCAAATGTAAAAACCTATAATTTTTTAAGTTAATCAAGATTTTTTTTTTATTAATCATTTAATTACTAAAATAATAATTCATTTTTTCTTTTCGTTACAACAGAATTGATTATCTAACCATGACAGAGGATCAACAGACAAGTGTACCAGCAAAAGAACGAAAAACAAATATTCACGACATAAGAAATCAGGATTTTGTTAGCAGATTATTAGCAGCCACTCCACCTTATTTGTAAGTAAATTCATATTATTTAAAATATAAATTCTTTGATAACATTAACTCGCTTACAAAATATTCATTTTTTGTTTTTTTTTGTAGATATTCAGCACCAGTTGGACCAAATAATTTTTTCTTTAGCGATATGTTACGTTCTTTAGTTCAAGCAAAAAATAATGAAAATGCACGTAATTTACAATTACAACAAGCAGCTTTAGCAAGAAGACCACGTAAACGTTCTTGGAGTCAACATAGACCATATTATGAACATTTAAAAGAACGTAAAGAAATGGAAGATAAAATTCAAACAACATCTACTACTACAACCGGTAGTACTATAGAAAAACCATTAGAATTAACAAATAAACAAATATTTCCGATAGCTTCAAAATATTCTAAACATTTAGAAACATTAAAAGAAAATGCATTACAAGTTAGTAATAAAATATCAAGTAATTCTACAACAGTTTCAAATCAATCAGAACAAAAACAACAGGAATATGAAACAAATAATCCAAATCATACACAATCAAAAAGTCAACCGCAACAACAGCAACAACAATCAACAAATTATGAATGTCCATCATCATCAAATCCTCCAATACCAGATCCACCACAAGCATCATTACCACCATCTGATTTAGCATTACCACCACCTCCACCAGTTTGGTATCCAACACTGTATCCACCATATGGAATTGATCCATTACATTTTTTTATAGATTTAAGAGTTTCTGGTCATATATATGATCGTAAAAAAGAGAATTCATCACCATTAAGTACTGAGAATGTTAATACAGCACAAAATGAAAATCCTAGTACTGATGGGCTGGTTAATAAACATAGGCATGGTTCAGCTTTTACAGTACCAGCACCAAGAAATGAAAAATCTTCTGCTATTAATTTATCATGTGGTTCTAGTAGTGTTGGAGAAACAACATTAGCAGGAGATAGACATGATCTTTATAATAAAATTTATGATTTAAGTGAAACAAAAGAGAATCATTTTGGTGCATTTAAAAATGCAAATTATGTTTTACAAAATTTACCAAAACTTTATTCACAATTTGCTAATCGAGATACAGAAAGTCTTGAAAGATCAAGTTTAAATAATGACAATAAATCTGAAGGATTAGATGATGATGATGATATTGATGAACAAAGAGAAAATTCAGGGCATATTGATGTTGAATTAATTGGAGATCGATGTCAAAGTCCTGATGATGATGATGATGTTATTCATCAAATTGATTAGTTGATTGTCTGATTATTTTACAATAGATGTATATATTTATCTATTTTCTTAGTTTTAAATAAATTAAGTGGTACTTTTAATATAATTTTATTTTTTAGAATTACCATGTGTTATTCTTCTCCTAAATCTTATATCCTAGCATATGGTCAATTATGTGAGACTCCAAGAAGATCATGTCAATATACGACAGCTTAATTAATAGGATTTCTATAAATAATAACAAAATCATTTAATTAAAATTTTTAAAAATTTCAGTTTTAAAAAGAAATCTGCTAACAGTTTCTGTTAGCAGATTAACATTTTTAACAACACTAGCGCATAAACTTTATTGCGGTAAATATTATCAATTAGAAATAGTGCGTCATATATTGGGATGTGTCGTAATTTCCTAAAATTTTTAAAAATTATTTCAAAATACCGTAAACATATTTGAAAAATAAAATCTGATTTAAAATTAAGTATAACGGTAAAACATTATCGAAATTGTTACGATAAATTTAATGGGAAATAAAAATTTCTTGCCATTGTAAATTTTTCTGCATTGTAAAGTTACTTTATACAGGCTATATTTACTATACAATTTTATCAAAGGAAATTTCTGAATTTACGGTCAATATATGTATATATCGTAAAAAATTTAATTTTGTTTTAATCGTAAAAAAATATTATTATAGACACAAACCAATATATATTTGAATTGTTCCTGAAATATAACCAATTTTTTTAGATAGAATTTACGATAAAAAGTTTTATTATTCGCTACATTCTAATTTCGTAGAAGCTCTTCCGCAATAACGGTAACTATTTTGTGAATTAACGGTTAAATATTGAAGAATAAAATTAAATGTAAAATCTCTTTAAGGTGTATTAAGATGTTATAGAAACTATGCCACCAAATTTATATAGAAGAGTTTGCTAAAATTTGACTGAAATAATTTTTAAATGTGAAGGTAAATAAAACAAGATTAATATTTTTTTTAATTATTACACAACAGCAAATTAATAATTTTTTTTTTGTTTTATTTTATTTTATAAAATTTACAAATTGTTTTTTCTAATTTTTAAATAGATTTGAAGGTAATAAAAGTTTACAACTTCTTTTTGTTTTTTAAAGCCAAATTTATTTCTAATAACTTTTAAATATATTATTTTTTTATTTGTTAACTTTTTTGTTAAATTAGAGATTTACCAAAAACAAAAATCAAATACATTTTAAAAATAAATAATAAAGAGAAATTAAGACAGTATTAGACAAAACCTACAGTGATTTTAATTTTATTATAATTATTTTGTAAATATTTTAACAATTACATTATTGCGTTTTTATTATTTTCTGACCAAAATTATATTTAATGTGTATGTGGTAACATTTCTTGTTTCAAAATCAGATTTTAATTAAAATGCTCAAATAAAAACTAATGCACTCATTTGGAATTAAAGAGAATACTTCCTATCTCTCGTTTTCTTAATATTCTCCTCATTCTAAAATATTGCTTTTACCGGTTTAAATTTAAGAAGAGCGTAATTAATTTGAGCGGAATTCAGAAAATTCACAAAATTCGTATGTAAACAATACAAAGGCGTACTGGGAAATTTATTTCAATTATGGTGATTAATGAATGAGTATTTTTTATTTGATTATTTTATGAGAAATGAGAATAAGCACAGTTTGATTTTAGCATTCAATCGAATAAGTTGCAGCGGAGTAAAAATTATACCAAAAATTTAACTGATAATAAATAATTGTTTGGATTTTTAGAGAATTGCTATAAAAATATTATTTAAAAAGCTAGAATTGAATAGAAGTTATTGATGAAATTGGATTAAATTAAACAAAAAAGGAAAATCAATTAAAATAATGAAAATTTTTTGCCATTTTTCAATAATTTTGGAATTTACGAAACAAAAATATTATTTTGGTAAGTTAATAATAAAATTTCACTCATAGAATTTACAAAATAATTTCGTTTACATATTTTATATAAAAATTAAAATTTTAAAACCTCTTACTTTTAGAATACAATTTTTTTTTAAAAACAGAAAATAAAAGATTTATAAAGGGTGGAAGACTTATTATTACTAATTTATTCCTTAAAAAAAACGTAATGAATTTTTATATATTACCGTAAGTATATTAATATTTAATATTCGATATTAAGTAAAATAAACTCAAAAGAGCATTTAACTTTTCTTGTTTTTTTTTGTAAAATATTAATAAAAAAAATTTTAGCTAGCCCATTTTCCATGAAAAACGCAAAATTAAATTATTTCTTATATAAAATCATCGGGACTACACAAATTTTTTATTATAAATTTTGAGAATTATTATATAACTGTTTTTTTACGATCATATAAAAATTAACTTGTTTTACAGACAAAAAAAAAAACTAACGAAAACAAAATAATTGTTAATTAAATTAAAATTATTTTTTTTTTTAAAACTATACAAAAGAATCAAATATTATGATTAATTGGGATAGCCTTAGAAATTAGAAATATTATAAACTAACCAGATTTTATATAATTTATAACAATTTATTTTTTAATATTTCTGCAATAATATTATTTATTACTCATTTTTAATTTTAATTATTTGTCTCAGTTGTATTAATTTTCAGTTATTCCTTTGTTTTTTTTTTATATTTTTAGACAAACTCTTCAACATATGTTGCTGGAAATATACCAATTTGATCACCTAATGCACCTAACCACCAACCATCATCTTGTTTAACATGAACTTCAATAATATCTCCAGGTGTTAATTCAAGTTCATCATATAATTTTGGTGTATAGCTGTACAGAGCCTTACATCTACTTAATACTATCGTCTTTGTTGTTTTATTACTATTATTATTTATATTATTATTACTATTATTAGAATTTTTATTAAGATTTGTTATATGATCATAATCATTTCCTATAATATCAATACCATTTAATTTATCTGTTGAACGTCTTTGTTCATCATCATCATCTTGTGAACTAAATTCATCAAAATCAGAATCTGGTTGATTTGAACCACCATCAGCAATACCACGATCAAAATTTGGACTATCTAAATCATGATGATGATGATGATTATTATATGATGTATCATGATGATTAATATTTATTGTATTATTTTTAATATTTATTGTATCATTTAAATGATGATTTGTTCCATTTAATAATATATCGGTAGTACTTTTACTACGATTAAAATTTTTAACTAACATATCATTTTTAATATCAATACAATTTGTTATTTCATGATTATTTGTATTAAGATGATGATTATGATGATGATTACTTGATGTTTCAATACTATCATCTCTGCTACCATTACTATCATTTAATATATTATTTGTTTCATCTTCATTATTTGATGATGAAATTTTATCATCATTTTTTAACCATAATGGTACTTTTAATATGCTCTGTTGTAATCCAGTTCGATCACGGGTTATCTAAAATTTTAAAAAGAATGATGTTATAAGGAAATTATTGTAATTCTAATATTTAAGCATAAAATTAAATTAAAAATTTAATTATATTTTATCAAATAACTTCTTTTTAAGAAAAAAATTATTATTGTAACTCTTTTACAAACATTTTATTTTTGTAATATTGTAAAGTTACCTGAATATGTGGTGCTAAAGGATGTGTTGAACGTGGCTTGTGATCCAATTCTAATAGAGCTGATTGTAATTTAAATCTTGATCCTTCGAGATATGTCAACATTGATCTTATCTAAAATTTTAAAAATTGGTAATATACAAATTCAAAATCCTAAATTCTCATACAACTATTTTAGAAAGCGGAATTATACTTACATGATACAATTTATCTGTTATATTCTGATTATCTTGATTAATCATCGTCTGTGATAATCCTTTTAAACCATTTCTTGATCTTCTTTCACGATCCAAATCTGTTTTGACTAGCTGTAATAATTTTATTAAAGAATGCTTTCGTCTTTCACGATTCATTGCCAATGTTGTATGTTCACAATAAAAATCTGGTAATAATTGTTCACTTGGTCCTTCTGCAGCTCTACGAATATTTTTTATAACAACTAAATCTTTTTGTACATTACATGCTTCTATTTGTGGTGATATTCTTTGACATAATTGTTCTAATATTGGATTTATATCTGATGTTAATTTTGAATAATTTGTTATAAATTGTTTCATTGATGATAACCTTTGCATTTCTAAATTTTGTAATACAGTTGAACCACGTAATACAGACATTTCCCAATCGACACGTGCACGTTCTGCTCTTATACATAATGTATAATATTCAACATCAGCACGTTTAACAGCTTCTTCAGCTTTACGACGTTTATTATCTAATTTAGCGCAATCTTTTTCAGCACTTTTAATTTCTTTTTCACTAACATTTTTATCTTTTGAATTTTGTTGATGTAATAATGCAATTGATGGTGATTTTTGTATTCGTACATCTAACATTGCATCTTGTAATTTTTCATTTTCACGTGCAGCTGTATGTGATATTTTTTTAGCTTTTGCTTCACTTATACGCCATTCATTTAATATTCTTGATGCTTTATCAACATTTGTTTCAACTGTTTTACGTGTTTTATGATGTGCTTCTAATAATGATTTTAATGGTTTACAAATTTCTTCATTTAATGATACTGATAATTGACGATGAACTTCACTACGTGATTCCATTTCAGTAGCAACACCACGCCATGCATCAACAATTGTACCCGGAACATCTCGACATGCTTTATTTAATTTATTAGCCATTTTTGATAATGATTTTGAATAAATTTGTTCGGCATCAATCCTAAAATGATTATTAAAATATAGTACTAATGAAAAGTGTGCAAGGGGTAATTTATAATAATTTGGTAATTTTAATTGAAAATTTGATGTGCATTTCCAAAGCCTTTTTCTAAGCCAAATTTGGATTTTATCACCAAGTTAATTAACAAGTTTAAATTTACCTTTCTTGTAAAATATTAACCAAATCTTTGCCGAAATCTCCACCTTGTTTGATATACCTTCGAAGTTCTTCAAACCCATTTTGTCCCTAAAAATTTCAAAAGAAAAAATCTTTAATAATTTTATGTTAAATTTGAGCTGAAATGCAAAATTTCTTATACGAGTATTTAATAATAAAATATATTTGAAGGCTTTAATTTTTCGAAAACTTGTGAGTAAAATGCTATTAATAATATAATTTTCTAATTAAATTTAATTAAATATAAAATATTAATAATAATCTGAAATTGAATTTTTAAAATTTTATATGAAAAAAGAAATCACACTCTACAAATAATTCTCACCTCCCATGTTTCTTTATTTTTAAATATTTTCCTTGATGCTAAAGTATTAATTGATTGTTTTTCCATTCCATTAATATTTCTATTTCCACTAATATTATCAATACCACTATTAGCACCAGCACCACTATTATCACCACCTTTACCACCATTTAATGTAAAAACAGATTCTGAATCTTCACCCATAGCATCTGTTATATCTTCACCAATTACTGTTGGTATTGTTGATTCAGTTGCATTAATTGACATCATTGATGATGTATAACTTGCTGATGTTGTTGTTCCAGTATGATTTTTATCAATTGATGTACTTCTAGAACTATGACTATTTATATATTGTGATGAATTTGTTAATTTCATATCTTTTGCATTAGCACCGACACGTTGCATTGCTGCATGTTTTTGTACAACTTCTTTAAATTTACCTTTCTCTTCACCAATCCATTGTTTTAAACCACTCCATGCATTATTTAATTTCTCTTTATTACGATGTAAATTAATTAAACGTGAATTTTTATTTTTTAATAATGTTATACGTCTTTCACTTGGTTTTAAATTATCACGATGTTCACAATATTCTAAATCAATTTCATTATTAAATTCTTCGGATTCATTTATTTCTTTTGTAATTTCATTTAATTCTTCAATTGATAAAAATAAATTTTTAGCATTTAAACTTTGTAAACTGACTGATTTTAAATCGAAATCATCAAATGAATCATCAATAAAATCTAAATTATTTTGACTACTACAATTATATTTGATGCCATTTTTATTAATATTTGTAATAGAATTTGAATTACTGTTATTACTATTATTACTGTTATTGCTATTATTACTGTTATTATAATAAAATTTATTTTTTGATTTTTTATCTTTTTTTGGTTTCTTCTGTAAAGATTCAACACTCTTGAAATGATAAATTGTAAAATCAGTCTTTTCGGGATTCATTGGTGTATTCGGTTCACTATGGCTAAATTTTTTATTTAAATAATTTTGTTGTATTGATGATGATGATATTATTGATGTATCAGCAATATTATCAGTATTAATTATATCATATGATCGATTAACATTTGTTATAATAATATCATCACCATCATTATCAATATCATCATCATTATCAACATTATAATTATGATAATTATTTCCAATATAAATTTGATTATTTTGTTCAATACTATCATCAATATCAATATCAACAGGTGGTAATGGTGGTGGTGGTTGTGGTGATTTTGATTTAATTGTTTTACCAATTCCAGTTGTTGTTGTTGTTGTTGGTGTATATGGTGATATATTTATATTTGAAATTGGTTTTAATTCTGTTGGTGATTTATAATATGAATCAGTATTACTATAATATGAATCAATTGAAGAATTTGTTGTTGTTGATAATATTGTTGATGTTGCTGTTGTTGTAGTTGTTTTTGAATCTTTTAATTGTGATTGTTGTTGTTGTTGTGACAATATTGTTGTTACTGTTGTTGTTGGTATTATTGATTTTTGTATTGTTATAAATGAATTTGTATCAAATGGTGGCCTAACAAGTACTATTGATTTTGAACTAATTGTTGGTGAATCATTTAATTCACTACTTATTATAGATGAATTACATTTTGTTGGTGAACTACTACTTGTTAATGGTGATATACTACTACTATTTATTGGTGAACTTGGTGGTGATACAAATTCATCTAAATCATTATTATTACCACTACTATTTGTATTTATTGAATTATTTTCAGTTGTCATTGAATCACGTCGTATTGGTAAATCAAAACAATTTTCTAAATCAGCTGTTGTAAAATCTAGATTTGATGGTGCTTTATCTAATATTAAACGTATTTCAGATTTATGTAAATTTTGTACAGATTTTGAACGATTTTTATTATTTTTTGATGTTTCATTATTCATTTTATCATTATTTATTGAATTAATTGATTGTTTTCTTAATTTAATATTTTTTGTTGTTGAATAATTTAATTCCATATTACATGAATTCATACTACTTTTTGATATTTCATTTGTATAATTTGATTCTGGTGAACTTTCTTTATCTTTAGCTGATAAAAATTCAAATTTAATATCTTGAACATTTGGTGGAAATGTACTTATTGCATCAGCGAATACATCATTTTCACTTTCATTTGATGATGCTGCTGTTGATGAAACTCTTTTATGTTTACCATAATTATCTAAATTATCAATATCAAAATTTGTTTTTGATATTAAAATTGGTGCACCAATTTCAATACGATGATCATCAGAATGTTGTCCATTCATATCATAGCTACCACAGATAATATGTTTTTGTGGTGATCGACTACGAAATGTTGATGATGGTGGTGATGTTGATTTACGAAGTTTTGCTGATACAGCATTTGTATAACGTTTTGTTAATTTACTGAAGAGACCTGTTTCAGGGCTAGTCGTTTTTGATTTGAACGTTTTTAATTTATTCATTTTTAATCTTCTTTTATTTTCTGTTTTCTTGAAGTCGTGTTTTGTTTTTCTTTATAAGTTAAACCATTAAGGTGTTCAGGTGTTATTGGTAATAGTTGGAAGTCAAAATCAATTGATCGTCGTCATAATTATTAAAATATTTGATTTTTTTTTTTTGTATATTTGTTCGAGGGTTACCTTTGAAGAAAATAATTTTTTTTTTTTTTCAAATTAAATGTTGACTTAAATTTGAATAATTGTAAATGGCAACTCTCAATTGTGAACTATTCAAAATGACAATAACACAAAAATAATTAAATTTTTTAATATTAAATAAAACGTAGCTTATTAATGTAGAATTCGAATTAATTTTCTGATAATCGAATTTATTAAAAACTAGACCTTGACATTGTATACTGTAACCTCCGTTACCACAAACAATTCATTCACAATATTTTATAATAAACCTAAAATTGCTAAAACCTGCCAAAATTTTGTGGTTTCCATGGATTTTTATTTGAAAATTCAAAAATAGGGTTTATATTATATCAAAAAAATTTCAAAATTTGAGTAGAGCTATGATAATTTTCTTGAAATTTATTCATAAATATTTGAAAACTAAATTATTTGAAGTAATTTACATGCAAATATAAAAAAATTTTCTAATAAATTCCACCCTCCTAAAAGTACGTTCACTTAAGTAGTAAAGTAACAATTTGAATAAATATGCAAGAGAAAATTATTTACATTATCGCCTTTACAACATGATGCAATAGCAGCACTATTAGTAAAAAAAAACAAAATTTTCAAAATAAAATTTCAAACCTCCTTTGTTTTCTATTTTAATTAAATTTTCCTATTTTTTTGTTTTTATATTTAATTTTGTTTAATTAATGTTAAGAAATACAAGCTGAAGAAGTTCAAAATATCTGTTCAAAATATCTCTACTTGTACGCCTTTTTATATAGAAAATTTATTAATTTTGAAATGGATAAAATTAAAGGTATTATGATTTTCATTTTAAATTTTTTTTTTTTCGTAAAATATGAAATTAAATTGAAATTTTCATAAATTGCTTTTTCGACATAATTTTAAACATAACCTCAAATTTCTTTTAGATCTATCACAATAAAGAATTTTTAAGAGAAACAACAAGGAATTGCTTCTATAAAGGATGATAACAGATGAAAGCTCGGGAAGAGGATAAAATCAAGTAAAAATTTGTACAATTTGCTTATATACAAGGTAATTTGCTTATTACTTCCCATTAGGATTTGTGTATTGAGTTCGAAAACATGCATAATCTAAGTGAAAGCCGGCATGGTAATTAAATTTCGAGATAAATTGCGAATTAAGCACTTATGTACAATGAGCTTGAATAAAGCCGAGGGTCCTTTCAGTAGTAGAGAATGAATTCACTGCAAATAAACCTTTTGTTTCAATACATAAATTAGGGCTAAGAAGCTCATTCCCTAATCTTAATTAGGGGTATGTCTGTAGGGGGTTCGAGTCAGTTTATGCTCATCAGCTTATTCCTCGATTCATTCACATTATTATGGCATTGATACCCTATAATAAATGGCTGTTAAAATTTATAATACACATTCGAATCATTCTAAAATTAGTCATACTAATTGTATAAATTTTCATTTGCTACTTTATAAAAAAATAAAAAATTTCTTTCTACTTAAAAAAAATTCTATAATAATAAAAACAAAAATTTTTGTTTATAGCATGCAACCTCTGTCTGGCTACTACTTCTAAATACATAGTAACTCTTTAAAAAATTCATTAAGAAAACACAAGAAATAAAAGTAAATGAACATCAAAATAACTTTTGAACAGTTTGGCTCCCCTATTAAAGTTGTACAATATAGAAATGAAAAACAGAATTCTTTTGATACACCATTATTTAAAACTATATAATGAATTTATTATACACATATAGAGAGTATTATGACTTCAAAAATAAAATACTTGTGGGTGTTGTTTCATAGGAAGAGGTGGAATTTTGTAAACAAATTGCTAAAGACACAAAAAAAAACAACGGGGCAAAAAAATTTATCGTTTGATTTTCAAAGCAAAGACAAAAAAAAATGCAACCAAAATTATGTTAAAAATTCTCTATAGATATAGAGATTATAGCTACATCCCAAGTGTAATTTACACCAACAACAAAAAAACAATAAACATTGAAAAATTTCTAACCAAAATAAAAAAAAAAATTCATATTTTTAGTAGATTTCGAACTAAATTGAAATGAATTATAAAAAATGATCTTATTATTGTCAATTTATCTGGCCATCTGTGCGGTTGTTTACAAAACTATTACTCTATTCGAGAGAGAAAGCTCGAATTTTATACAAAAATGTACGATTTTGAGAAAAATATTTCTTTGGAAAGAAATTTTTATTTATCATTTGTGGTTTGAAAATTATAGTCCTTGAAAATTCTTAAAATGTCACTTTTTGACATTTATCGCATTGAAATTGCATAGCACAATCTGCAAATATTCTACTTTTTCTACTGCGAATTTACATAAGTAAATATGTATTATTTAAACAAAATAGGCTGTAAAATTTTTCATTATAGTAAAACTTCATTTTTACCACTCAAAATTTCAATTTTTGACAATTTATACTCTAGAAACAGTAAAAAACTGTTTCTTCTGACTAAACTGATTATTTATCGTCTAATATGGCTATTTATGCAAGAGGAATTCGCATATACCTTTAAATCAATGCTCTCATCCTAAAAATATGCAATAATAAGAAATATTATGATAAGTGATATTTTTCGTTAAATATCTTAAATTGTTTCAAGGAAATGTGCTTCATTACAAACCATTGATTTTATTCAAATTTATTGATAGTAAAAATATAGTTTTGAAGGTGTTCGAGATTATAGCATTTATAATAATTATATATAAACAATATGTTTAATACGCAAAATAAACAAAAAAGAAGTTAAAGGTTGGGTCATTACAATTCAACAAATTTTATACCCTTTAGCATCCTCTCTCTCTCTTTAATGTACGAGTATATGTATTGTATATGTATGTATTTATGTAAATAGTTTGATAACATAATTTTTATGTAAACATTTTGTTTGAAATTTCGTGTTAATTTCTTTTAATATATGTATATGTATGTATGTATATGTATAGAGTTCATATTATGAGTTGTTATGATTACCTTTACTAAATTAGTAATCATGTTTATGTATACATATGTATATATATATGTATATTTTTATGAATATTATTGATATTGAACTATGTATTAGTGTATAGATAATATTTACTATCACCTTGCACTGTTATACAGGTGGAATTAATTGATGCGTACATGTTAGATGATTTTTTCGGATAAATTTATTTGATTTTATTTTTAGGTTTTAATTAAAAATACCTAAATTCTTTTAATTAATGACTGATTAGAATTTAAAAGATTTTGACGATTTTATTATGTATAGAATTAATCAAAATAAGAACAAAATATAAAAAAATGGGTCACATTTCTATAACATATCTCGTGTAATACTATAGGTTATAAAACGTGTACACTTACGAGTAGCTATATTCTAAAAATTAGGGTTGATAGTCTGATAATAAAATTAGGTCAATGAAATTTTCAAAATATTTAGGTCATTTTATATTGATATATATATAAAACTATTAATAATTTGATTGAATTATATTTTTGTTTTCTTAGTTTGTAGAAATAATATTGATATACTTAATAAATGTATATTGATAACATTTGATAAAGTGTAATACACCCGATATAATGTGAAATTGTGAGGAAATATATTTTGTATTATGTGCACAATATATACCCTTTATTATGCGTTAGTACATTGATGCAAATATAACAATAATTAGTTATTAAATACACAAACTAAGTTTACGAATAATATAGTGATAGTTGACTTGCGTATAACAATATTTAGTATTACAATTATGCAATTACAGTTTGTAATATTACAGTTTTCCAAATATATTACAGTTTGTATGAATTTGTTTCATTTAACTAACATTCAATTAAATCAATTTAATTCTCAATACTAATTTTCTCTCATTTTTTTTTTTTTTTTTGCCTCTAATATAGAAAGTCAAAATTATTTGAGTGAAATTGAACATACGTCATATACCTATACGCTTAAAATTAATTGGAATTATTTACGCAGTTTATCATAATTACATACTAATATTAAATTATATAAGTTTGTATACATTGTAATCTGAAAATACTTTTCACACAAAATCACTTTAAATAAAAATTCAATTAAAAATTAATCGAAACGAAATTTAATAAGCTCATTTAAAAATATTATTCATTTTGCATTCAGACAAAAAATTTATTAATTTCAAAATTTTTCCAAATTATTGTGAATTGTTTAATAATCATGTAGAAGACGAAAGAAATTATTATTAAAAATTAGATTCATTATTATCTACATACACCAAAAATAATACTTTTCAAAAATTGCCTGAGAGCACCAAGCGTTTGTATACTTAATGCTCTCAAAATATACTTAAAAATTTACTCACAAAATTTTTTAATTCACAATCACATACATATACTAAATGTCAGTACATATATGAGGCGAATAAATTTGTTCGGCTCATTAAAATAATTATTACACTCTATTATTACACATTTTTTTTCATAATAATCATTTAATAATTATTAACGCCACATGAGTTATAAAAATCATATAAAATTTAAAGTGAATAAAAACTGAATAAATTGCATGTTTTCTATTATTTGAGAAAAAAAAAAGCCAGCGCGTAACTTAGATTTTTTTTTCTCACATAATAGTATGTGGCGGCACATAATTATTATTATACCAAGTTAATTTTAATAATACCTTAATTGAATGAAAAACTGTGATAATTGAATAGTTCACAATTATGAGCTATGTGAGGAAAAAAAAAAAAATTAAAAAATAAAAATTTTTTTTTCTTGATTCATTTTTTAATAAGTTTTTTTTTTCGTACCTGGTGATTTATTCACTCATTCTTGTTTTTCATTTCTGCGTTTCAATTTGATTTTTTTCGATTTTTTCAATCGAAAATTCTGATCGATTAATTTCAATTTCACTTTATCGAATTTTATTAATTTGCTTCTTTTTTTCTCTCTCTCCTGTTTCTTTTTCTCTTTCC